ATGGGGATGGTCTATCCTACTACTACTTGTATGTGGAGGAGACTACACCAGATAAACCAGAATCTAGGTTGCACATATATATGTTGCAAGATGGTTTTTGCCGCAAGCATCAACTTTTGGACCAACTCCCTCTCGTGCCTCACGAACCTAAGATTGTGCTTGCCAACAATAAAATTTATGTCCCGGCAGGCCTGAGTGACATTATCGTCTTGGATTTAACGACCTTGAGTTTCTCCACAACTCAGCCTCCGCAGGGTGTAGTGCATAGCAAGGTCGGCACCACTATGTTGGCAAGGGATGATGACGCTTCTGGTATTTATCTTATCCATGTCAGGGAGCTTCAACTACGCATTTGGCTCCACAAGGGAGACGACAGCTGGTTGCTCATCGATTCCATTTGTTTGCGTGAGATGTGTGCTAATTTGAAGATGTCAGGTTGCATGGTGAAGGATGAGCATACTGTTCGTCTCATGAACCAAGTGGTGGACTATGGCGACTTTCTATTCTTGGAGATGGGCGGATGCGTACTTCACTTGGATATCAAGTGCAGGACACTACGTAAAGTATATGAAATAACAAATGGTTGTTTGGTTGACATCTATCCTTTTATGATGATCTGGCCTCCCACGTTTCCCACGCTCAAATATGATTCCGAAAGGTTTGCCCTTTTCGCCTTTAAATCATATGTTGAAGCTACATTCTTTTGCAGTGCATCGTTCGTCACAATGTTTGATGCATTTGTGTTATTGCATTAGGTATATGATTGATTCGCTTGGGCATTTTGACAATACTAATTGAGTGACACCATAGCTGACCCCTAAGATGCATGGGTACAAATTTAATTACATTTTGCTTTCCTACAATTGTATTAGCCAATATGATGTCATCCTTAATGTCATTTTTTAGAAGCTAGCGATATTTTCGGCACTAGTTATAGAATTATATTTGACAATGTCAATGGTTGTTGTCTTTTGCCAGGCATGTCCTGATGTACTCCCTCCATACCAAAATATAAGACGTTTTCGCAGTTCAAATTGAACTGTAAAAACATCTTATATTTTGGTACAGAGATAGTATTTGACTATGGCAGACCACCTCAATAGAGTAATTGCTTTTGTTAAAGCTTGTGTTGCGACGGATGGCATACTTCATGAACTTATTCTTACGGTCTTCCCCTTGTATAGATTCTAGTGGTGCTTTTTGTTTTAACAAGGATCTTTCATTCTGCCACATCATTGTTTCCTAAACAGTTAGGTGTGCATAAGTGCAAAACAAAAAATTGGGCCTGATTAAGTAAGTATAAAATACATTTTTCTTAAGACTTTTTCTGTATAACGGATGAACATTCTATACATGTTTTATGTGTGGGTATTGCTTAGTCGTGTGTATATTTGTTATGCATGTCATCTATATCGAAGTGAAAAAAAAATAGACTAGTGGATAACAGTATGAGTTATTAGTGGGTAATTTGTGATTGCATGGCATTTGTCCTTGTATGTGATCAGAGGTTTACTGGAAATATATATGTTTAAGATATGAAGGATTCTAAACCATTCCCTGGAGCTTAAAAAAACTTTGTTGAACAAATGCTATTTTGACTGCACGAGTACATAAGTGTCTTACTATCATTGTACTAGACATTTGTCTGTGTTGTCCATTTGATCATTTTCATACTTAGTTATCTAACCTTATTCTCCTTTTCCTGACACAGAAATGCAACCTGAAGAAAAAAGATACCAGGGTAGTTGGGTGGCATGAAGTGGCATCAAGGAAAGAGCATTATTGAGCTGCATTTACTCTTTTGAGCTGGTAGCAGTTCTGGTTATATTTATTATAACCTTTTCTGGGTCAGTTAATTAGGAAGTAGGATGATTAAGATTTTTGTTTTGTGTGGTTGGAAGGATGTCTCGTTTGAACTGGTACTTACGGCATTCGGAGAAGTGTCTTTGTCAGAATTGCGAAATAGGTTTTCAGTTAGCAATGTATTGCTCCAATGTCCGAGTTAAAAATGGTTTCTCTGAGGCTCTAATGTACTCCCTCGCGTTCACAAATAGTATAATAGTATGTTCTAACTTTTGGCTAAATTGAATGTATACTAGCACAACGAGCATGCCACGCTACACATGCACAACGTGGCCGAGGTTTGCGTCGGCGTCGACGATATCTCTTCTATGGCGCCTCCGCTCTTGGCCGTAGTGGTCTGCACCTGCAGCATGTCCAATAATTGGGCACGGCGCTCTGCGAGTCCGAGGTGGTGGAGGACGTATGATCGGTTGCATCTAGCGATCCTAATAATGGTGTTGGTCGTGATTAGACATGGCGATCAAAATACTTCTTCCATTTTGGTTGTAAACTATGCATATTAGATTTGATTGAAGTCAAACTTCGTAAAGTTTGATCAACTTTATAGAAAACAATCTAAACATTTATCATAAAAAATCCATATGATGTGAGAATACATTTGGTAATGAATCTAACAGTATTGATTTGTTATTGTATATGTTAACATTTTTGTTTATAAACTTGATCAAAGTTTACAAAGCTTGACTTTGATCAGCTAATATGAAGACTAAATAAAAACAGAGGGGTACTTACGATATGATAGGTAGGTGGTTGCATGCACGCAAATGCTACATCAACGGGGATTTAATACGTTTACTGGACTGGTTGATATGGACCAGTAGAATAGCTGATTGGGGGAGGAAGGACCCGCACGCCCTAAAGCCTTGTGGTTGGAAGGATATATCGTTTGAACTGCTTGCATCGAAGCCTTGTGGTTCCACCCACTGCTTGGCTAGTATGTCATTTGGAGAAGTGTCTTCTTTTTCCGAATTGCGAAATCGGTTTTTAGTTGGTGATGTATTGCTCCAATGTAAAACCTCTGTGGAGAATTATAAGACGTTTCATAGACCAAATGTTTTAGATCTTTGATCTAAAATGACTTATATTTTTTTACGGAGGGAGTAACAGTAAAAGAATGGTTTCCTTGAGGTTTCTTGGAGGCCAGCATGACGGTCAGGCTAAATGATCAACAACCAGCAAAATAGCTGCATTTGTTCCCCCTCTGAAAGGTGTTGAAGACAGGCTTAGATCTAGATCCTGGAAGAAAAGAATGTGCCAGAGTAGATTGCAGAACACCTGCAGTTTTTCAGATGCACTGGTAAAAAAGCCAATGAAAGACATTTAACTTCAATTTTACCTTTGATAATTTTCAGGATTGGTGTGTGTTGTAATAGTTTGTAATAACATTATTTGTATCAGGAACCCATCCATCCCCTTTTCTCACATGTGGGCCTTGTTCCTAACCTCCTGGTTCTAATCTCTTTAGTGATTTGACAGCCAAAGGATTGATGCTCCTGCTGTACTTTATGAATGTCCTACGTTTGTTGCTGCATCTCTCTCTTGCAACAAGCATCAACATGTTCGTGTCAGTCCATTGGCAGTGCCAAAAAGGCTACTCAAAAGGGCATTGCATGTACTGGCAGCTACTGAAAAGGGCGTTGCCCTACCAGGCACGGTACAGATGCTCTAGATCATGAAAGAGAGAGTATTCATGCCACTGATGTGTAAACTTCCTTCTGTTTATACATGACCTTTTGGGGAAGATCAACTCTAATGATAGCACAATGCACTTGTTCTTGCTGTTGCTGGCCGTTGAAGGCCTGTAGGGTGTTTTGGGCTTCTGTTTTCCCCTTTTGGGTTTGCTCTCGGTGGAAGAGCTTGCTAAACCACCTCTGTAATGTCAAATTCTAAAAAAACTTCTGTAATGTGCATTATCAATTTTATGATAGAAAAGTGAAAGGGCGCCTCCTACCTGGCACAGCCTAAGTTCCTTTCAGGAGGCACCACCGGGTGGCGCCCCAACTACTAGTGTCCAATAATTGTGTGCGGCGCTCTGCGAGTGCAAGGTGGTGAGGACGTATGATTGGTTGCATCTAGCGATCCTAATAAGGGTGTTGGTCGTGATTAGACATGGCGATCAAAATACACTTTTCATTTTTATTTACTGTGTATATTAGATTTGAATGAAGTCAAACTTCATAAAGTTTGATCAACTTTATAGAAAACAATCTAAACATTTACCATAACAAATCTATATGATGTGAAAACACATTTGATATAGTATTGATTTGTTATTGTATATATGTTAATATTTTTGTTTTATAAACTTGATCAAAGTTTACAAAGCTTGATTTTGATCAAAGTTAATATGAAGACTAAATAAAAACAGAGGGGGTACTTACGATATGGTAGGTAGGTGGTTTCATGCACGCAAATGCCACATCAACGGGGATTTAATACGTTTACCGGACTGGTTGACATGGACCAGTAGAATAGTTGATTGGGGGAGGAAGGACCCGCACGCCCTAAAGCCTTGTGGTTGGAAGGATATATCGTTTGAACTACTTGCATCGAAGCCTTGTGGTTCCACCCACTGCTTGGCTAGTATGTCATTTGGAGAAGTGTCTTCTTTTTCCGAATTGCGAAATCGGTTTTTAGTTGGTGATGTATTGCTCCAATGTAAAACCTCTGTGGAGAATTATAAGACGTTTTAGAGACCAAATGTTTGATTTAAAACGACTTATAATTCTTTACGGAGGGAGTAACAGTAAAAGAATGGTTTCCTTGAGGTTTCTTGGAGGCCAGCATGACGGTCAGGCTAAATGATCAACAACCAGCAAAATGCTCTGGAAAATGCATCTATTCCCCTTCTTGAGATGACATGGAAAGCAGAACATAATAAAAAGCTGCATATGAAGGTTTTGAAAATTTAACAAATGAGCACGGTTTAGCTTAATTAGCTGCATTCATTCCCCCTCTGGAAGGTGTTGATGTAATACTTGTTCTTACCAATGTACTCTACTAGTAATTCACACATTACATTACAGAAACTGCAGAAAACGGAACACTGCAGTCTTGCTTGATTCAGTCCACATGGAAACCCGACCTGCATTGATCGCATCATGTTATTCATTTTTTTTCTTGGGCCGTCGAACGATCTATGGTGCTCCGGCGCCGGTCCCGTGGTGCTCCACCGCGTGCCCGGAGTGGACGAATGAAAACCCTGTGCCATGCAGGGCGTCCTCGACGATGGCGTCCAGCCTCGCCGCCATCTCCGGCGTCATCTGGTTGCGCCAGTCGCCGGCCACCCCCTTCCTGAAGAAGGCGTCGTTGGGCACGGCCAGCGCCGGCGCGCCGCTCCTGTTCACCTCCAGGCTACTCAGCTTCTCCAGGCTGCACAGCTCCACCACGGATTCTACCACGCCGGCGTCCTCCTCCGCCGATGTGAACGGGCACCCGAGGAACTGCGCGAGCTTTCCGACATTCTCAGCAGGGTCGCGCAGCATCTCCTCGTACCTGAGGAAGAGCACCTTGTCCGGGTGTCCCTCGCTCGCCTCCCAGTACTCGGCGGCGTGCCGCCAAGCCGGTCCGTACCCGCTGCGTCCCTCACAGAACACCTCGAAGAGCTCCATGAAGTCGAGGTCGCCGGCGTCGTGGGGGAGAAACTTCTTGAGGAACCAGTACCAGGACACCATCACGTCCTTGGGGTCCCGGCAGAGGTACACGATGCGGCATCCAGCGGTGACGCGCTCCGGCAGTTGAGAGTAGGCCCAGTGGGTGCCGAAGAGGCGCGGCGGAGACGGGTAGGCGGCGAGGACGCGCCGCGCGTCTTCGACGGGGCGGCCGAATATGTCGTCCAGGAACATGACGAGCCCGTGCGGGCTGCGGCAGAGGAGCGGGTGGCCTGGCGACGACGGCGGGTGCGCGGCGCGGTGCGCGGTGGCGAAGGCGAGGGCCTTGAGCCACGTGGTGCCGGACTTGGGGCAGGTGGCCAGGAGCACGTCCGTGGCGCCGGGGGCCGGCTCGAAGTGGTCGTTGAAGGCGGCGAGCCCCGGCAGGAACCGCTCGGCCAGCCAGTAGCCGCGGTACCGGCGGAGCGCGAACGGCGGCCACCGCGTTTCGAGCGGCAGCGCCGGGATGACCTCGGCCGCGTTGTGCATGTGCAGCGTGGGATGCTCGTGCTCCTCGTCGGTGGCGGCGGCTGTCGGCGCCAGCGTCGATGATGTCTCTTGATTGGCCGCGGCGCTCCGCTGCTGCGCGTCCATTGGGAGGGAACAGTCGGCGGCTGGGAGCACGGCGAAGATCGACAGTGATACAGTGGAGTTTGACCGGTATTGGACGTGGCGATCGACCGACCGAAGATATAATATGGTATGGTATGGTAGGTGGTTGCGCGGTGCAAGTGGGACAGTATATATGCCAAATTTCGTGTTTTGACCCTTTTCTAAAACCTATTCAAAATTTGACCCTAGTTTGAAAAAAAAATTAAAATCTGACCTTTTTGCTATCGTCAGGACCATGGCGGTAGGGTATAACAACCTACCGCCAAGGTCCCTGGCGATAGGATTGCATGCCCTACCGCCAAAAAACTCCTAAGTATTGAACACAATGCGTGCTCGTGCCTACCGCCAAGCACCTTGGCGGTAGGGTTGTGCAGACTACCGTCAGCCCGGTTGGCGGTAGCGATGTTTTCTACCGCCAAAGTTCCTGGCGGTAGGCTGTTAGACCCTACCGCCATGGACTTTGACGATAGCAAAAGGGTCAAATCTCGAAAAAAATTCAAACTAAGATCAAATCTCGAATAGGTTTCAGAAAAGGGTCAAAATACGAAAATTTACCACTATTGGATGGTACTGATTCATTCCACTGTGCAACTTCCTCTAGCTTCACATTGCAAGCCTAGTGATTCTTGTGCCTGCAGGACACAACAGAAAAACCCGCAGTTATTGTTGCTTGCTGCCATTCACCATCCGGCCGGACAGAAAACTCATGTCGTCCCTGCCAGGGCGCCGCAAGAGCTCATCTTCAAGCGCTAATGACGCGTTTGGTTACTTGAATCTTTTTTGTCATTTTGCATACTTGTTTCAAATTAGCTTGATTGAGCTAATGCTGGCAAAATAAATAAATATATGCATATTGATTGGTTGCATGCATTCCCTTTTTCTGCATCGTAGCAATGACTCTATGCACTATGTTTGATTGCTCGCACTGGCTGGGCTCATACTATTGCACATGTTGTTTGGTTGCATACGGGCAACAAGGTGTTGTTACCTTGTACCCTACACTGTGAGCTTACCAGCTACACCTTACACACGTTCACGCCGGTAGAACACTACTGCAATCATGACGAACTGGACGCTGATGATAAAGTTCTTTAGCTCAAACTGTCAATCTGACTTGCCAACTTCAACAGTGCATGCCTGCTTGAGCACGTCCTTGGAGTAAGCATCCTCAGCTGCCTGCTTACTCATAAACACTCTATGGCAGTTGTTTTTGTAACTCGCCACTTGTTCATATACGCAAACCATATGTGCTTAAAGAAATGCAACAAGTTATAAAGGTAAATCACATAGTTAATTTAATAGCCATTGTATATCTAAAAGTGCATAAATTATACCTAACTACACAATCATGTTCTATATGATCGAACTACATAACATATTCTAGCATGCACAATAATAATGTATACTTCAGTACAATACCACAATGGTTTCGTAGATGCAGTACACAATGTTTGCAATGCACTTCTCTCATTCTACTGCATAAAAGTACAACCATTTACAACAATAATGACATGTGTTAAGGTGAAGGTACCTGAACATCCATTGCCATGTGAATATACAAGTTCTCCACATCACTTCTATGGCATAGCATTGGACCACACGTGTGTAATAGGTTTAAGTTGCAAGTCATATCTTATGCTACCGTAAGGCCAAATTTCTCAGACATGTCAAATGAAGAAAGTTTATCCCCGTCAGGGAGCATCCACTCGAAGTGATATAGGAAATTTGCTAATACCATCTCAGTGACCGACGAGCTGAAATGAATCCCAGGGCATTGTCGTCGCCTAGTCCCGAAGGGAATGAACTCAAAGCGTGTCCCCTTGTAGTTTACGTCGTTGTTCTCAAATCTCTCTGGCCTAAACTCTTTAGGATTGTCCCAATGTCTAGGATCTTGAGAAATTTCAAAAACATTAATGAACACATTGGTGCCTTTAGGGATGTCATAACCCATAAGTGTACAATCATCTCTGGCCATGCGGTGGACAAGAGGACCAGGTGGATGCAACCTAAGGGCCTCATTGATGACCATTCTCATATAGTGGAGTTCAGAAAGGTCATTGTTATTAATGACACCTCGGTCTTTACCAAGTACCTCACGTACTTCGTGTTGTGCTTTAGCCATTGTGTCAGGATTGTGCATAAGCTCTGACATGGCCCATGACAAAACAGATCCTATTGTTTCCGTAGCACCTGCAAATACATCCTGTAAATGAAAGTAGTGGAAATTAAGTACAATTAGACCTTTATATGTGCATATATAGATTTGTGCCAATCCAAGAATTTTTCAAAATCAAAAGCTATGTAGAAACATAGGAATCATTGCAGGTAGTAATTAACTTTTTATCTTTCATGAACAATGTTGTAACTTGTTTTTTGTATGATGTAGACATCACACTGTGATTAAGTAACCCGTGTTCTATGAACATGGTACAGATGTGATATGTTTCTTGTGAATTGGATACCATATTAATGCATCAAATATATTGAATACATCTAACGACTTTAACATCACACCATTAGGGGAGTATTAGAGATCAAAGTAAAGCATGTAATAATATTACATAACCAATGACAAACTGATATGGCAATAAATTTGCATGTGTAAAATGTACCATCACGCGCCAATGATCTTCAATTTTATTGCGTGCATTTGACAATGAGAGTGCATCTATGTCCCCTATATGGATTTTGGTTGATCATTGGCAAGAAAATTAAGATACTAATGATTTTGTTAAGTATTATAGGGTTTTATTCTCTTTGCTAGTTGGAAAGTATCTTTGGTGGCCCTTATGACCTCCTTTGGTCCAGTGGAATTTTGTAGGAATGAAATGTCAATGGCCTCTCCCCGCACCTAACAGCTCCCTCCCCCCGCACCTAACCCTCGCTGCCGCCACCTCCCAAGCTCGATCTTGGCTAGCTTCAGCGGGCTTCGCCAGCGCGCGGGCTAGATCCGCCTTCCCCTTCCCCCACTCCTTCCCTCCTTCCCCTTTTTCTGCCCTCGTGCCGCCTCCCCGGGGGCCGGCCGGGGCGGCG